TCCTCCCTCCTCCCTCCTCCCTCCTCCCTCCTCCCTCCTTCCTCCCCTACAGTTTTGTCTAACCAGCTGTGAATGTGAATGTGCCCGCCTATGTTCCTGTCTCTGTGCTTGACTGTCCGTTTCTTTGTTCACTCAGACTAAACAGTCTTCTGCTGAAAAGCTCATGGATGGCTCTGAAATCTTCAGTTTATTAGAGTCTGCAAGAAAACCAACAGAATTCATAGGAGGGGTTACTTCTACTTCTCAAAGCTGGGTTCAGGTGGCCAATTGCTTCCTCTTTGGTGTTCTTGACGCTGCCTATTTGCCTTTCTTAGCCTTTTTGGTGTGTGCACGTATGTGTGAGTGAATGTGTGTGTGTTTTGCTCAAGTGGCTTTGCCTTAAACACCTCAGAGGTATCTTCGGTGGTTTTCCTTTGTGCCTGCTTGGCATAGCTGTCATGTGCCTTTAGTTGCATCACTAGAACATACTTCAGATATTCAAAATTCAGATTTCAGCAATCGTGTTGAAAAAGTTTCATAGCATTTAATTTTTTTAAGCATTTTATGTCACCTGTTAGGTCTCAGAAAGCTGCCAGAACCAATGGGAACACACTACAGTGCTTTCATTTTGTTTTGTTTTCATTGTGCTTTATCCGCATCCTGTTTCATTTGTGGCTATCCCAACATAGCAACACAGGCTTGGGGGTGGGGAAAGGGTGTCAGGGCAGGGGGCACTCATCCAAGACCCTGGTGGGAGGAATGCAAGCTAATTTATATTTTCTATAAGCATTTCTGGTCATGAGCACTTGACACTGGCTTTAGGGTGCCCTGGTGAGTGGCTGCTTTTGTTTTGATTTTTGTGTTTTCACCTTTGGTTTGTGGAAAGTCACACTGACACCACAATCTTTTCCCATGCAGAAAATGGAAACCAAGACTGTGTCCAGCAAGGTAGAGGCAGAAACAAGCCAGCACCCCCAGCCACTTAGCACCGAGAAGGTTGTGCAGGAAACCGTGTTGGTGGAGGAACGACACGTGATGAATGTGCATGCGAGTGGGGATGCCTCTTATGTGGCTGGAGATGACTTGGCTGCTGGAGCCCAGGCAGCATCTGCTGATGCTTCTAGCTTGAAAGGGAAGGAGGGCTCTGCTCTGATGGAGGGAGCTAAGGAGGAGAAGGGGGAGGTGGCCGAGAAAGCTGTCCTCAAACAGGAAGAGACGGCCACTGCTCCCCACGAGCCAGTGGAGGAGCAGAGTGCAACAATCCACGTTTCTGAAACTTGGGAACAGAAACCTCATTTTGAGGTAACTAGTAGTTGACATTGCTTTCAGCACTGATGTAAAACTGATCTATGAGTCCCTGAAATTTAGTTAAGCTTAAAGGGGGGAGCTAAGCTTAATTTTCTGCCTTCTCCAAGTGCAGTTTGTTTCTCCTTTCATTTCCCTCTTGCATGGCAATAGGGTCTCCATGCTGGTCTCCATCTTTGGGGTCACATGCAAACATATTTAATAATTAATAACGTGTGGTTCCAGGAAACAGTTCCTGCCTTCATTGTAATTATTGGCCTGGGGAATGCATGGCCAGCCAAGATATAGAAAATTTGATAAATTTATTTTGATCAGTGTACTTCCCCAGAAGGACCAAAAACCATGCTTCCCTTGGTACCAAATGCCAGAACTTTCTTCTTTATCTCTTTTACTGAGATTCCTGAAGTATATGGAGTAGGGAACAGTTGATGTCTTTGTATTTGTTCCTTCTTTCTAAGAAGTTATTAAATAAAAGGCTAATTGATGATTTTTGACTTATTAGTTTAGGTGATAGAGGAGGGGAGTGTAAAAAGAGTTCAGTAAACATTTCTTTCCAAATGCTTTCCTTTACTGGAATATCCCATGTTAAAAAAAAAAAAAAGTCTATGGAATTCTGAAAGACTGACCTGGTGTCTGCCTCATTCCTCAATTTACCCTCCCCATGTTATACATAAACATTTATTTCATACTAACCTGTACTTATCCATACCCACCGGGGGGGGGGGGAGCGGGTACAAAATCATGTCTTTGTGCAAACTATAACAGCAGGCTCTGCCTACTTCCTGTTGGTACAGTCATCAACTGTGAAGACAGAAACCAGCAGTTTTGGTAGTGTTTCACCAGGAGGAGTAAAGCTAGAAATTTCTACCAAGGAAGTACCGGTCGTTCACACGGAAACAAAAACCATCACATATGAATCATCACAGGTAAGAAGTCTGTGAAGGCCAGAGCCCTGGCACTTTGTTTTGCCCCTTTAATGGCTTACTGCCTTCTAGTATAACTAGATGACATTGAATTCATGAGACTCAGAGGACACAGCAGCTAAACTGTGTATATCAAGAGTGATAATGGTATTAATTAAAACTTTATTACTGATCCAGAAACATCAGGTGACTTAAACAGGTCTTCATATATCTCAAAATGTAGAACAAGGCTCAGGAACCTATTTCTCTAGCCGTAGATAAGGAAAAATATTAGCTCAAGCAGACCCTACTGACATTTCTCAAGTCCCAGCTTTTTAATGGTGGTTACCTCTGGCCATGTTCGGGTGAGTTTGTCCGGAGGGCCGCTGCTCCCGTATGCCGACTGGACAACACAGTGATTGTGGGAGATGACTGAGTCATTGTGATGCCCTGACCTAACATAAGTATTTGAGTGTGGTGTCTGTCCCTTTGCTTCTGTAGGTTGATGCTGGTGCGGATTTGGAGCCAGGCGTGCTAATGAGTGCACAGACGATCACATCTGAAACCACCAGTACCACGACCACCACCCACATCACCAAAGTAAGTGGAGTGAGGACAGATAAAAGGAAGGCACTTACACGGAACTTCTTCCCAGTTGGGCTGCACAGGCAGAGTTACGTGACTGCCAGGATGCCCAGACAGCTGCATCTCACGCCCACTCTGTCTATGGGGCATTTGCCCTTATGTGCTCATTTCTGTTTAGGAACGTGCATTCTGAAATCCCTTGCTTAACACGAACTCTAGTCCTTAGCATATGGTCGGTGTTCCAGAAACACTGGCCAGCCACACCCAAAGGACTCCATTTTAGTTTCACTTCTGAAATTAACGATTTTAAGTAATTGCCAAAGAATTGTTTCAACTCTTCACGAATACTGTTAGTTAAAACTCTGTTAGCATTTCCGGCTATTTCCCCCACTGAACCATGATCGTTCTTCCAGGTGGGTAACTTTGTAATGTTTGTCTGTCCCTTGCAGACTGTGAAAGGAGGCATTTCAGAGACAAGAATTGAAAAGCGGATAGTCATCACAGGAGATGCCGACATTGACCATGACCAGGTAGTGTGCGTGAGAATGGTCAGTACCTTGGCGGAGAAACAGGGACACTGGTCAGCCCCACTCTTCCCAGTGTTGTTCTTCTAGTCCATCATGCAGTCTAAACAGTTTTCTGAAGTAACTTTTCAATATGCAATGTCTGATTCCTTTTGCAATCATTGTACCTCATTTGTAAATTACGTGTATAGATCTAGCTCGTAAGTCTCCACCTTGCTACTGATCATGGCATGTTCTACCTCCTTTTTGTCTTTGCCCTTCTGTGATTTCCTGGGGATAGGCGCTGGCTCAGGCAATTAAAGAGGCCAAAGAGCAGCACCCTGACATGTCAGTGACCAAAGTAGTGGTCCATAAAGAGACAGAGATCACACCAGAAGATGGAGAGGATTGACCCCAGGTAAGAGGTGACGCTGATTCTCTAGGCTTGGCCTTGGCTGGCATGTAGCATGGGGCCACTTCCCTCTGTCCTTCCCCTGCCTCTTCCTCCTTTCTTCTCTCACTGGCATTGGCAGGGCTGCTCACCAAGGGGGTGCAGAATTGGTTTGTGGGTGCTGGTTTGTTTCAGATTTGGGGGTTCCATACTGTGGACTTTTTTACATGTTCTGCCAGGTAGAGGATCAAGAAAGAAGCATTCTTTGCTTGCATGGTCTCGCTGGTGTTTCTTTTTCATTCGTGCCCTGTGCTCTTCGTTATCCAAATTCGAAGTGTCCGATTTGATTTCACTTGCCATGTGGCCTAATCAGAATGAAGGCCACTTTGTTCTGGAAGGTACAATTTGTGTGTTCCACATACCAGGGAAATAAAAGGTACCCCTTTTTCCTTTGGACGGCAACATTACCCCATTCGTTGTAAGCTTTCTCTGCGACTATGTTTGGTTATGCTTCTATTTATGCTCTCGTTTTGCTTTGTTTCTGAATTTGAAACCTGGGCATTCACTTTGATTTTGGATGTCTTATATTTTCTGTATTCTTTGGGACGTTTTTTTTTTCTCTTAGTATAGCATCATGTCTCAGGAGGAGGCAAAAATGCAGCCTTGGGTTCCTGCTTTTCTCTAGGAAGTGTGTGCATGTCTTTTCAACGGCTGTTTGGCTGGCATTGGGAGCAGATAGCATCTTCTGTGTGTGCACAGACTTGCTATGCACACTCACCTGCCTTGCAAGAACTCATGGGCCCAGAGCATCCCCAGAAGGCTTTGAATGCTGAATGCAACTGTCAAGCTACTTGCACACTTGGTTATGTGACAAAAGTCTCTTAAATGCTTTACATGTATAAATGAAATAAGGAAGTTCTCTAATGTTGGTTTAGAGACTATACATTGAATAGCGGCCTCCCTTAAAGAAAAAGAAAAAGGTCACTCATTATGTTCAAATTAATCATGTTATTCGGAAGACAGAAAGCAGAAAAAGGGTTCTCCAGTGAGCTTCAGCCGCTTGGGTCATGTTGTAGTTACGTAAGAGAACGCATATCAGTGACTTACGCAGGAATTTTACAGTATGTTGTCAAAAAGTGCATGTAATAACCTGCAAGATGATTTTTGTGTGTGTGTGGCCTTAATCTGTGGAAGACTCTTGGGTGTTTTCCAAGGAGTAACTGATCAAATCTCTTTCCTACAGGAATAACTTAGCCTGCACATGAATCCAGTCATGCAAACCATTAGGAAAACCAGAGCCTATATGGAGTTCCCTCTTCTAACCCAACTGACTTGTATCTGCCCATGGAAAATTCAACCCAGAAGAACTGACCTTGACCATTAATAAAGACACTGGCAGAGAGATCTTCCCATAATAAAGCAATCCGAATCAGCATCACAAAACTGATATTGCATGAAGCAACGATAAAATTACAAAAGAGTAGCATTTTTTAATTTCCACCAAGTGTCTAAGTTTTCAGCTATACCTGCACGTTCATAACCAACAATATAAACCGTGATCTCATGTAACACATAAACAATTCATGCCTTTCATAGTTTATTATTAAAGTCTAAACAAAACCGCAATTTCTTAGGTGACAGATCTTTTGTTTACAGACAAATGAAGATTACCCTAAAATGCTAGAAGCTGTCTAGGTCCGATGTGTCAGGTTTATCCCAGATTAGATGTGCCAATAACCGAGTTTATTCAGTAAACAACTTGAATCTCGTACTTGTTTCACCTGGTTTTATTATTCTCACCCATACACAGCAACGACTCTCAATCCTCTGGAAATATTTAATGCTTACAATCCTGCTTTGTGTATCTAATTTGATTCGTTATAAGGTAGTACTGATTTTAGCATATTAATGTGATTTCTTCCTTGTTTACTTTGGTCTGCGTCCAACCTGGAAAGCTTCCAAGATTTCCCTAACAAGTCCTAAATATGTAAATTGTCATTATTTGGGGGAAGAAAACCTGTTTTTGTTAGTTTACGATATTATGGAATTTCACTCCAGAAAAAGCTGTTGGGCTTCTGTTGCTTTGTTTTCTCTCTTCGTTTCTTCTTCCTTGTGTTTTTAAGTTGGATTTTACTTCTTTTACTGGAAAAAGAAAAAAGTGTTTTATTTCCAAATCTGGTCCATATTTACAATCTAGTTCAGAGCCAAGCCTTAAATTGTACAGAATTTCCACTGTAATTAAACTATTTAGTGTTTAGTTATAAATAGCCTTCAAAAAGATATATTCTCCATTACACTGTCAACTGCATCACACAGCCCATGGTGAATGTATGTTTCTGCATAGCAAAATAAAAATGGTAAATGCATTTAAAGCTCTGATTCTCCATGTGTAATAATTTCAGTATTGTCTGTGTTTAGTAGCATGTGCATGACATCAGAGCCCTCATTCCTCTGCATTGTATAGAGCTGTCTTTTTACAGGACAAAATGTGCCTATGGTGACACAGTGTATGGACCCTTCAAGGTATGGGAGACAGGAAACAGAATACATACACATAAATGTTTGGTTGCCTAGGAAGGCCTTAAAAAGTAAAACTAGTTACCACAGAGTCTCATCTTCTAAGTTAGTTTTTTTATAAGAAAGGAGGTTTGCCAATAAACCCAGTGTTTCTGGCTGCTTTTAATCTACTGGAGAGACACCTCTCTCACACATGTCAGCTCCATAGTGGAACAGATTAGCCGCAGCATTCTAGAAGGGCCCGTGCAGTGTGTTCCCACAGCTCATTCACATCAAACTCCTTCAGGCCAGGCAATCTAACACCTAACTGCACTTGCTGGCCTATACTACTGTGTCACACTGAGCTTGCTGATTTTTTTTAAACTAATTTTATTTTTTTTCCAAAGAATTATTAGATTTGACCCACATACATTCTTCTGTGAAGAAGTTATCTGTTGCTCTTACTGTCAGTACTGGGTATTCATTTTAGGTACTGAAGCATCATTTTGTGTTTGAAGCTGATCAGAAAATGTGTTGAGACCATATGCAAAAATGAACTCAAAATGGACTAAAGACCTAAATGTGAGACCTGAACTATAAAAATCCAAAAGAGAGCATGGGCAGGAATCTCTCTGACATCGGCTGTAGCAACATTTTTCTAGATCTGTTCTCCTGAGGCAAGGGAAACAAAAGCAAAAATAAACTATTAGGACTACATCAAAATAAAAAGCTTCTGCACAGCGAAGGAAACAACCAGCAAAACTAAAAGACAACCTACTGAATGGGAGAAGATACTTACAAATGACATATCTGATAAAGGACTAGTATTGGAAATATATAAAGAAATTATACAAATCAACACCAAGAAAACCCCAAATAATCCAATTTTAAAAAGGGGCAGAAGACATGAAGAGACATTTCTGCAAAGACCTACAAATGGCCAACAGACACATGAAAAGATGCTCAGCGTCACTCATCATTAGGGAAATGCAAATCAAAACTATAATGAGATATTACCTCACACCTGTTATAATGGCTAATACAACACAAGAAACAACAGATGTTGGCGAGAAGGTGGAGAAAAAGGAGCCCTCATGCACTTGGTGGGCATGCAAACTGGTGCAGCCACTGTGGAAAACAGTATGGAGGTCCCTCAAAAAAAATTAAAAATAGAACTACCCTATGACTCAGTAATCACACTACTGGATATTTACCCAAAGAATATGAAACACTAATTTAAAAGTGTATATGCACCCCTATGATTATTGCAGGATTATTTATAATAGCCAAATTATGGAAGGAGCCCAAGTATCCATCAATAGATGAATGGATAATGACATGGTATATATATATATTTATATATAATGGAATGATTTGGAATTGTATATAATGGAATATTAGAGAGAGAGGGAGAGAGAGGAAATATTACTCAGCCATAAAAAGGAATGAAATCTTGCCATTTGCAACAAAATGGATGGAGCTAGAGGGTAGAATCCTAAATGAAGTAAGTCAGAAAAATACCATATGATCTCACAAATGTTTGGAATTTAAGAAACAAAAGAAATTAACAAAGAGAAAAAGAGACAAACCAAAAACTAGAATGCAGAGAGTTGCCAGAGAGGTGGTGGGGGTGGGGGGGGAGGGGGGGAAATAGGTGAAGGGGATGAAGACGACACTCACCATGATGAGCACTGAGTAACGTATAGAATTGTGGAATCACTATATTGTACACCTGAAACTACTATAACACTGTTAATTATACTTTAAATTTTTTCTTAAAACAAATTTTGAGAAAAATTAACACTTTTTTGATATGAAAATGGCCAGTAGCCTCCCAAAGATGACTGTACCCAATCTGCTTAGTTTATATCCATCAAGTTGTCCCCATGTTTGTTGTTTTAATTTTTTAAATATATAAGTATAATTGACATATAACATGTTAGTTTCAGATGTACAACATAATGATTCAATATTTGCATATATTATGAAATGATCACCACAATAAGTCTCGTTAACATCCATCACCATACATAGTGACAGATTTTTTCCTTGTGATGAGAACTTTTAAGGTTTACTGTTTTAGCAACTTTCAAATACTCAATACAGTGTTAACTATAGTTACCATGCTGTCCGTGTTCACGGTTTTAAACCAAAGCTAAAGTTTTCATGTTTAGTGAAACATGAGCTAATGTTTTGATGTTTCTCTGTCCCTGGCAATAAGTGCTTATTCATTTTTATAAAATTACATTATCAGAGAAGTTACACATTTTCTGCTTTCTTTCCTTCTATTATGCTCCTCCTAATTTTTCCAGCCCGCACCCGCTGTTATATGGGGGGTCCCAAAACCACTCCCACATACTTGGTTACTTATGACAGCAATGCCCCACATCTAGTACCAAAATCAGTATCTGCTTTTATTGCTGCATAACAAATTCCACACAATTAGCAGCTTAAATCAACATGCATTTATTATCTCTTTGTGTAGGTCAGGAGTCTGGGCATGGTTCTCCTGGCTCCTCTGAAAAGCTACAGTCAAGGTGTCAGCCAGGACACCTCATCTGCTAGCTCGACTGGGGAAGGATCCACTTCCAAACTCTCTATAGTTGTTTGCAGAAGTCATTTTCTTGTGGTTGTGGGAGCCTTGGAAGCTTGCTTTTTCAAAACCAGCAGTGAAGGGGGAGACTCTAGAGTGTATCTGCTAGCCAGACAATCTTCTATAACATAACATACTCAAAGGAGTGGCTTCCCATTACTTTTGCCATATTCTGTTGATTAGAAGCAAGTCATGGGGTTCTTTTGACAGCACCAACATATTTAAAATTTAGATTTGGAGATTATTAATCACTAACATTCCCTAACTCAATAGTTTTAAAGAGAGATTCCACTGATGTATGAAATTGGGTTATGCTCATTGCTAAGCTCTCAGGTAATCTCAGAATATTTTTTAGCCATTACTGCTAATACAGAAAAATGCAGCATTGCATTAGGTGGCAAAAAGACCCTGGAGATTACACTTTCAGAAACTGAAGAATTCCACTTAGTTAGCTATTTGCCCCCCAGAAAAGAAACACTTCCTTCTCAATTTGCTCTAAGATTCAGGTTGTAAGAAAACAAGAATCTATGCTTCTCTCAAATGAGCAGAAAAACAACTTGCAAGCCTAAAAGCAATATGGTGCAGCCATTGGTAACCAGCGTTTTCTTGCTGATCACCCGGGATCTGAAGAGACATCAGTTACAGAGTTGCCAAGCTTAGAACCATCCATAGGATAGTTTCTCTGGAGTCATAGAGTGAATTCTTAGGTCCAGATAATAGCCTTCCTTTAGGTAGAACGCTTCCTATTTTCCAATGGAGCTCAGCCTAGGTGGTGAGTCCTCAGCTTGTGTGGGCACCGTCCTCCTTTAGCATTGAGACTGATGGACGGACTTCTGCTGATGGTGACACGTGCACTGCCCCAGCAAGAGAGCTGAGGGCAATGCTAACAAGGTGGAGATTTTGTGCAGTTTCACTCTCCCAGAAGATTCTTCCATCCCGTTCTTTATATTCCTTTCAAATTTCACAGAGCCACCATGTCCCTTCTGCTTGGGCACAGTGAATTAGATCACACACCTTGTAGGATAATTCAGCCCCCTTTTTTTTTTTTTACAGTTATTTACTATACTCCATTTCAATTCTGCTGACTTCTTTCTAGCACAGCTATTATGCTATTAATATCGACCCCAGCAATTTTTTAAAAATTAACATAGACTCTGGCACATGGATCCAAAATTGCTTCTGAATTACACATGAGGGTTATATGTACCTTCCATTAAATGCTTTTTTATCTTCCTCGCTACGGTAAGTTAACCTGTGGTCAGAAGTGTCTGCCTTGGATTGCCATAGAGGTGGTCTAATGTTTTAATGAGCATTTATTCATTAAGTGAAATTGGATTTTTCCATTTTTGAAAAAAAACTACACTTTGTGGCAGGCCATTGGTGCATGTACAATTGTATTCTCAAAAATGACATTTCATTTTGACAAATAGTTTATCAGAGCTGATTAACTCTGAAGAAGGGTAAGAAAAGGAGCTAGCGCTCCCTGACAAGTGTGGTTACTAACACGCACGTGAACACACAATAGTCTGGCATGTTTCTTTGAGAGAAATGTAATCTTTTAAGAGATTGGCCAGGTTCTTGTATTGTAAGCTTAAGGAAGAGCTTATCAGCCAAGATAGTATATGGATTTTTAGAGCACCCCAAACAAGGAGGAGCTAGAATATTTTTGGCCTGAATTTCAGGCTTATTCCCCGTGAATAATAACTCAAAATGATCTCTGAAGACAAGCAATGACAAAGAAATGCACATTTTAACACAGTGTAATTTACCAACAAGCAGTTGGCCAAAGCATCATTTTAATTTCAGGTTTGAAGATGCAAAGCAAAAGCCACTTCTGGTGGGAGGTGTAAGTTGGTAGCTTGTCTGGAGTAGGATCAATAAAAATATATCCTAAATTTTTTACAAAGTGTTTGAACCAGCAAATCTGCTTATGGGGATTTTTCCTAAATAAGACAGAGTTGTACAGGAACTAATGTACAAGAACGTTTAGCTCAGTGTTCTCATAAAAATGAAAAAGTTTAGACAGCAAATACTCAGCAGTAGGAAATTTGTAAGTAATTAATGGAAACGACATAAGATGGAATACTGTGCAACCAGCCAAAATAATAAAATACGAACCTCATAAAGGAAATAGTCCTAATATGTTAAGTATAAAAGTGGATAAAACAATTTATACATTATGGTGTTAAGTAGGTAAAAATGTTTACGCCCAGAAAACACACAGACATACACCAAAACGGTAGCAGTGCCTTTCTGTCTCTGAAGGCAAAGCGTATA